AAACAAATATATTGTCTTCTTTCCTTCTTTTCCTTTTTTATGGCTTTGATTGTACATATGCTTAGTATAATTAAGACATACAAAATTAGGAGGTTGAAATTCTTTATAATTACTCAAAATAATAAGAGGAATTCTGTATCTCCAAGCTAGTAGGTTCTGATATCAAACCCAATAAACAAAACACAGAAAAAAAGCTAAAACATTTAGCTCAATTAAAAGAAAACAGATTATCATTCTAATGGAAAAGCACTCAAAAGACACATGCAGTCAATTAAAGAGGAAACACAAGTAATGAATGCATACATGAAACAGGAAAAAACTACAACTCTGCCAGTAGTTAGGTAAGGGCATCTAATAAGAGCACTTAAGTCTCTGGTTAGGATTTGTTTTTCTTATCTCATCATTAGGAAGTTTTAAAGGTTTTTTAGGTGAAAGAAATATTTGCCAAAGGTGTGAACAAACTGGAATCCTTGACATTGCAAATTGGTGAAAAAAAATTGCAGGGAGACACTTAGAAATATGCATAATAAAAGCCTTAAAATGTGAAGATCATTTGGCCCACTTCTAGGAATTTGGCAGAAGACAATTAGATAAATACATGTAGAGCTCCATTACATAGCAGAATTGTTCACAGGAGAAAATTAATACAATGCTAAAGTTTAGTAATTGAACAAGTTGAAGTAGGGATGGATTGTAGAGGTCAATGTCCACCGGAACATATGATGTGAGCACCGACCTAGAAAATGGTCTCCGCTTAACAGCTCTGTGGGCTCTCCTTCTCTGAGTGGTTCTGTGAAAGGGTGCCCCTGACAGACAGCGCTAGGAGAAGGGAGCCTGAGCACTCTGTGACCCCGGAACATGCAGCACGAGAAGGACTTGTCTTGCCCAAAATGCCATTGTACCCAACACTGAGAAATCCTGCTGAGCTAAACCTCTTGGAATAAAATACAAGACTCTGACTCCCCAACTCCTGATTGTTTTTCTAATATCAGCTCTGTCAACTTCCCTCCCTATTTGGGACCCTTCTCCGACTCACCTCAATTTCTGTCTCCTCTACCCCATGCCTTAACCGTATCAAATTGCTGGCAATTCTCCTGGATTTCCAAGAAGTATTAAGTTTCTCAACTTTCATTTGGTTTAGATTATTTGTTCTTCCTAGAATAAGCCTTGTCCTATTCATTTTTTTAATATTCAGGTTAATCATCTTCATGGAGACTTTTTTTGGATGATAGATTTCTCCCATTATAGAAAACTTTTTCACTTTCTTATTTATATATGTCACTATTACAATATTTAAAACAAAAAGCAGTATTTATTTTATGTCTAAATCCTCCCAGTAGAAGTGGAAACTCCTTAAAGGCAAGGAGGGAATGACTATTCATAGTTAACCCCAAGCAAAAGGGAAAAAGGCTTGGCCATCTAAAAGACACTGTACAAATTCTTGTGGACTGGAGGAAAAATAAAGCTAAATTTGAATTCACCAACTCTTTTTCCTGGCATTGGAAAAAGTAGAAAAAAATGAATTAAAGCAGTAAAAGGACTGAAGCAGGAAGATCACAAGTTGAAGCCTAGGCTAAGGAACTTAGCTAGACCCAATCTTGATATAAAATTTTACAAAACGACTAGCTTATAGCTCAGTGGTAAAGCACTTGCCTAGTATGCACAAGGCCCTGAGTTCAATACACAGCACTCCCCCAAAAGAAAAAATCATTAAATATTGAAACAATGGTGTTCAAAATGTGACTTCAATCAACAAAGAAGAGTGATCTCAGAGAGGCGGGTGAAACACAGCAGCAGCTGATTGCCTCAGCCTGCTGCCAGGGGAGGGTACATTCACAAGAACCTGCGAGTCCAACAGATTCCCCAAGGTGACAAGATAGAGCTGAGTGTCTAGCAAATTTTTCTCAGTGATGACAAGTGACAAATAAATGATAAGCAAAAGGGGAAATGACAGGTTACTATGTCAATCCTTATGCTTCCAATGGATTTGCAAATCTTAAGGAAAAATGCAATCAACTCTCAACTGTTCACATTATAACCATTTTGTGGAAACTCAACAAAGCTGGTCTTGTTGGGAGAACCGGAAATTGATTCTGGGAACCTCCAATCTTTTACCTGTTATCTTTGATAATCTGCTGGAAGATGGTAAGTAGTGGCAGGATCAGCCTACCTGGGACACTTCCCTGCTCTAATACCTAGGTAGACTTGTCCAGTTTAACTTCTATGTGCCTCTGTTTCTACATTTATAAAATTAGGATGATGATAGTATGTATTTCATGAGGCTGTTTTGAGGATTAAATGAATTATACATGTAAAGCTTTTAGAACATTAGGTCAAATGAATTACATACTACACTTGATTTTAGGCAAAAGGCCAAGACGCAATAGGGTCAAATGATTAGGGGTTGAAAAGTTCCATGTTATATATAATCTGATCCACTGAGTTAGAAGAATAATCATAACCCTTCATCATAACAAGAGCTGTACAGTTTTTTATTGAAACAATAAGTGAAACTGTAAATTCTTAGCTGCCATTAAGCGCTAAATGATTCCTTAACACGTGTACGGCATTCGTCTCCCTGTCTTGCATCTTATTGAAAACAGAACTGTCTTCAGATTTGTGTGTATGAAAAAAGCTTAAAATGCACAGCAGATTGTCTTATCAAAGAAACTGAAATCTCCCAGCCCCAGAAGATTATGTCTGAAGACAAAACTAGACCACCATCATTTCAAAGCAAAATTATTCTTTTGTCAAATGACAGCAGTTGAAAACCTGACTTTTTTCTTGTGGATATACATATGCTTTACCTCAAAAGCCTGACACTATACCATGAATTGAATAAACTCTTTAAGTGCTCAGGCTTGAGTATGAAAATGTAGCAGTATTTTCCTGCAGCCTTGAACATGGAACTGTGTGTCTTCTAATTGTGCTGGAAACATCTGTTTGATGGGGGGGCTCTGAGATTAGTCAGATAACAGGCATTTTTCCCATTTAGGTTTTATGACGATAGAAGAAACTTGGGGTGCAAGCTTCTCAAGTAAATGTTTTCTGAGCATCAGCATTAGATTTCTCGCTCACATTTTGAATTTCTAATCAGAAAGGCAGATGACGTGAGGAAAGGCGATGTTTATGCAGGAACCAGAAGCTGCTCCGCAATGAGTTCTGGATGCATCGGGTGTTGGCGTCCATGGGGCACCTGGTGTCTCAGGGAATGGGACGCTGAGGTGGATTCGTTTCCTTTCCAACCCAAGGGCTCAGTGCCCTCAGTAGTCACAGCTTGAAAGAAAAGGATTCCCTTACTGTCACTGACATCCCCACAGGCAGGGCACGGAGGACCCGGCTCGTAAGAGAAGTCAGAACATCTCAGAGGAGCATGAAATATCAATTTATTATAGATCCTGCTGCTGTGGTAATTCTACCGCTCGTTCATCACAGTCCAAGTGAATGAGAAGTTTTCATCATTTCTCAGAAAACAGCAGAAGTCAGAACTCATGGCAGGGGGGTCTTGTGTTTTGAGGATTTTCTATAAAGAGGAGTTTAATGACTTTTCAATTATTTGCTAAGTAAAAGACTATAATAGACACAAATGCTTTATGAATTAAGTCAAACACTTCTTCTGTGAGACGCTTCCTGTGACTTCTGTTGCTTTCACAGTGGGTTTCGTGTGCAATAACATGCTTCAATCAAGCCAACTTCATGTAACTCTGCTAACAGGAAGGATTTCTGTCACAGATTTTACAGACCTCTTCCGTCGTGACGGACATCCTGAGCAAGCGAGCAGGACTTTCTACACTGACGTTCAAACAGCTCATCCCTGATCTTTCAATTCGCACCATTGCCCCTGTACCATCTACTCTCTGAACTGGAACAATCACTGTGTAAGCATCTCATGGCTTTCTCGCCTTGGGTCCCTCTAGGAGTTTTCTATTGCACTGAAAATGAAATGCAAACTCCTTACCCCGGCTTAGGAAGTTCTCCACATCCTGGCCTTCACTGAGCGCTAAGGACTTGGCTTCCTCCCCGACTCAGTCACTGCTCCAGCCACATCTGCTCCATCAGCCAAGATGCTGATTCTTCATGACAGACGTGGCTCACCTGTCCAGTTGCCACTGGCCACTGTCGGCCCTCACCTCTAACATGGGAGGAGCCCACCTGCAGCCTTGGCCCTGCCGAAGAGCAGCCACGGCAATCTTTGGAAAACATTAATCCGATCACATCAACTGAGTGCTTTAGATACTTCAGTGGCACATGGTGGCCATTATGATGATATAAAAATTCCTTCACCTGGCTCAGGAGATGCTGCAAAATGTGACTGCTGTGATCTCTCTTGCCTAATCCTGTATCTAATATGCTGGTCTGATCCTGTACACCAGAACCCACAATTGCCACACTTCTGTCATGATGTGTAGCTTTAGTCATGGTCTCAGATCATACCCACAAATGTTCTCTTAGACTGAGGTGTCCTTTCCATCTTTCTTGTTCCTAAACATTTCCCGCTTATGACCACTATGGATGATTCCCACAGCATCCTGTTCTTCATATAATGCAGATGCACGATCTATTGTAATTATGTTTCCCTTTAGACCAGAGGTTGGCAAACAATGGCCTGAGCCTACATCCCATCCCTCCACTTGGTTTTGTAAATAAAGTTTTATTGAGACATAGCTGCACCTGCTCATTTGCACATAGTCTCTGGCTGCTGGTTTGCTACAACAGCTGAGTTAGGACATCAACACAGAATCTATAGAGTTAGCAAAGCCAAAAACATTCCCTGTTTGGCCCTTAATAGAAAAAAATGCCAGCCCTAGCTCTTGAAAATAATGGATAATTCTTCTTTCATGACTTTATTCCCCACACCCAATGTGGTCTCTAGAACATTAAAGCTTTTCAATAAATAACTATCCACTTTTATCCATACATGGAAAAATGATGCTTATTGTAAATTAACAAATAACATGCATCCCAAGGAGTGATTCTGCAGGTGTAGGCTTTTAATATACCTGGAGAGAGAGCCTTCTGTTCAGCTTTTCCTTCTACTTTGGAACAATGGCACTGTTGCATCACTTCCTCCTTTCACTTTACTGTTGTGATGAGCATCCTGAAAAACGAGATGGAGAGGAGAAAGAGGTAGCTAAGAAATCCTCCCACAAGTTAAAGCATATGTTGAAGTTCTTTCATTCCTTATTTTTCTGTTATATAGACCTCTTCCCAATAGCTTCTACCCACAGCACAGACTAAAATTTGTGAATACTTGGAAAATCTCATAGGGGAATTGGAAATAATGATTTAGGAATCCTAGCCATGCTATCCTCATATCATTTGCATTTGACTGGTTTGCATTCGCTCTCCTAGAGGCAAAGAGAGGAAGGGGCAACATCCTGCCTTTAGGTTCACTCTAATCACATACATGAGATACTTGTACCAACATTTTTATTTCAGTATGCCATGTTGTTAAGTACCCTATACAGTAAAACATAACCCCTATTTTTCGATTCAATCTCTACACTGTTCAACTGTCAAATATTGGACACTTTCTAAGGATGGAATCTCATCTACAGGGTATAGATTATCACAAAGCAGCTAGCAAATGCCTTGCAAAGTGAAATCAGTGACTGTGTTATACTTCAGGCAATTGAAGAGTTTAACTGGCTCCTAACTCAGGCTTACATGCATCTGATAAGTACAACTGGCTCGAGCAATCAAGGGACTTTTTTTTCCCTAGGCTGGTAAGTACTTGTGAATGGTTAGGCCAACTGGTTAGAGGTTAAAGTTCAGGTTAATGAGGTCAGAGTCATAAATGGGAGTCTTAAGTGAGGCTTTCCTCTAATTCATAACTGAAAGTTGAACATTTAACCCTAGCCAGTCAGTACCTATTTTTCAAAAAAGGAATCAGAGAAAGAGTGGGTGGTATAATGTAAATCCATCACAGTGCTGGAAGAAGTACTCAGAAAACATGTTTCTGATAGCCAAAATCATCATCTTTTTCTAAAATCAATAGTCAGTTATAGTAAAGCCATGAAGTCATCTATAATTTTCACTCCAATAGTCAGGCAATCTGAAAGAAGAAATCAGAGTTAAGTTGAACGTCACAAGTGAATCTCTGACACAATCCTTTCCTCTCACAGATGAGGGAACAAATGAAAATTCATGAGTGGGGACAGAGGCAGAGGGTACTGGATTATTTCCTCAGTCTTTAAGCCAGAGATAGAAAGCAGAGAATAGGATTCAATGTTTCTGATGCCTCCAGGTTTATGAGTCTTTTTGTCAAGCTAAGGAAAGGCTGTTCCATGGTCTCCAGACAAGAAAATGACTTGCTGGCCTCCTCCTGAATGTGAGGAACCTGTGACTCACCTGCTTCCAAATGCAGAAGGAGGAATGGAGATCATTGCTTCCTTTAGGAAATGGCTACATCCAGGGAAATCCTCTACTGTCACTCCCCTTATGCTTATTGAAATTTACATTTACAAATATTCTTCTTTCCATGGTTGCTTTCTCCTTTCTTTTTCTCCCAACCCAGACTATCCTCTCTGAATAATAACTCCAAAGTTGTCTTTCATCTCTAAAACACCAACCAGCCACTTGATTTGTATTGTTTCATGAATTGTGCATGGTCTTACAGATTTCTTTGCTTTCCTCACATAGAAAATTCTAGAAATTTTCTAGAAAGTGAGTGGCTTTTACAGAAGTACTGATTTCTAGCAGATGTTTCTCTATATAGGTGAATCGTCCTTTTACCTTTAAATTGTATAATTTAGCAGGCAGTTGACAATGGCAAACAGAGATTCAGTAATTGTACAGAAAGAAAAATACAATGGGAATCTGAATTTTTAGTATATACGTGAGTTACACTGATTATCCTTTTTTTCCATAAATGAACAAGAAAGGAATCTGATAGTGTTGAAATAGTATTAATGAAAAGACTTGTTTAAATTACATAAGAATTTTAAAATGTGACTTTTAAAATTGACTCATATCTGCATGAAACCCAAATGAAAAATGTAGATAAAATAATTGTGTAGGTTTATTCCAATTTCTGATATGTTTGCCTTAAATTACTTAAAAACAACCAGGTTGGCAATCCTTTTCTATTTGTTTGTGCCAGTGGTTCTCAACTCCAGTGAGCACCAGAGCTTATTAAACACGGATTTCTGGGCTCCCCTCCTTGATAATCTGTGATTCTAACCCCTGTAAGTAAGAGGGGTCCTGAGATCACAATTTGAAAGCCACTGATTTATACCAAAAAAAGACTTGAATTCTTTCTCAGCATAAATAGACAACATAAAAGCACCCCAAATACTAACCATTTGACAAGAGTCTGATGTGGATTTTATAACTATCTGGGGGAAATTCCTGTAGGCAATTTCACTTTACCTCTTTGTGAGAAAGTTACTTGGACCAGGAATGCTTCTGGTGACTCCTTCTCAGGCAAACTATCAAATTTAATTCCAAATACAAGGATATTTGGAGAATACAATAAAATGTTTATAAGAGCAATTGATCTTGTGAACACCTAACCTTGTTTTTGGAAATTAGAAGTTCATAGCTCAAGTTATGGCAAAGATGCATAATTTTCGTAATGCACAAATGGGAAACACTAAAAGAAGTGAGCACTCAGCAGTTTTGTTATTAGGCACTACCTGGGTGGCACTGTTCACTCAGCCTTGTTCTCCTCCTGGATGAAGTCAAAGTCACTCTGCAAGGCAGTCAAAATAAATATTAGCAAGATAAGAAGGAAGGAAATAACAAGAAAAGATTTATGTAAATAATTGCCTTGCAGCAGTTTGCCATATTATTGCAGTTTTTAAGCACTATAGCAATGGCCCCAGCTTTTTTTCCATTAAAAAAATGCAAATATAAATAACGATCATTTACTTCCGTTGAGACAGTGCCGGCTTCAGTAGAGCAGTTTGCAGAGATTTTCTGTGAGAGACAACTGTTTTAGATCCACAGAAGCTGTCTGGGGAGACAGATAAGAATAACCTAGCTTGAGAAATGCTCAAGTTCGTTCGCTTCAGTGTGGTCTTCCTGAATACTTTCTCTTCCTCAGACGATTTCCTGGATGGAAATAATCTGTTTTTCGGAAGATCTTAGTACCTTTTGTTCCAAACTTTCTACACACAAAGCCTGATGTAGGAACTTTAGGCTTCACTGCATCAGGCCTTCCCAGAAATGCCAGGAACAGTTGTAAAAGGACTTTATAATTTAAAGAGAAAGGCATGATTATGAGTCTCAAAACCCTAAGTGCCAAAGAGTGTTTTAAACAGAAGAAGAATGACAGCCCTGTCAGTGGTAATGCATTTGTATTTGCATCTGACCTAAAAGCTCTTTCAACATCTGCAAGGACAAAAAGAAAAAAAAAAATCATCCAAAGAAAGGTTGTCCTGGGATGAAGTGTTAAGGACACAGCACGGCTCTGCTCTGCAGGAGAGCCACACATCCAGTTGTCACCAAATCCGCCAGGCCTTGGAAGACGCTCCTTCTCTAGGGTTCTGTATTTGTTTTCTTGCAGGCTAAACTCAGAGCATGGAGAACAAAAGGATGTTCTTTTCACGTTTCTAATTGCTGCAAGCCCACAGGTAATAGGGCAGAGATGGAGACTGAGCTGTCTGTCACATTGGGTAGATGACTCTCCTGTAAACACTTTGGCAACTAACTTCCCTCTGGTCTGCTCGTGGTGTTTGTCATTTCCTAGCAGAAAGGGTTGGAAAAAGTATCAGTTTCATTAGATTGAAAACAGGTCACAGTTTGTTATTTGGACGAGGGAAGACAAAAATATTTCAACCTTTGGACTTTTTGCTCTGTTTAGAGTAATAAACTTATACCTGAAATTAGTGAAAAGGTTTTACAAAGCTTGTTCAAACTAGAGAAAAAACACTACATTTTTCATTTACAGCTGTTTCTCCATTATTCTCTGGCACCCATGTCTGTAACATGATATGAATTCATAGCTTTTGATTCAGAATTTGAATGCAATGTTATTATGGTTTATATTATCAAAGTGTTGAAAACTGATCGAACTCATTGGCCTTTTGTAAAAAGAGAATTGTGAAGTATTTTATGATATTTTCCAGATATGCTTACGTCCAGTTTTAGCCGTAATTAACGTAAAGAGAGCTCTCCTGAAGCTATTTACAGAATGAAATGTCTCCAGGGGTTAGTAAATTGCACACTTTTGAGGTAATTTCCTTGGGAAGAAGTCTTTATACCTGACTCTGAAATCCCTTGTACACCTCCTATGGAGCTAGTCGACTTTCATAAGCAGCATAATGACTATGTGTCAAAGACAGAGTGATAAACGGTGAGTCTTCAAAGACAGAGAGGGAACCTCCAAGCTTTCTTTTTTCTGTTGACATGTATAACATCAAATTAGACCGCAGACATTTGAAAGTATACTTTCTTTGCAAAGGTGGGTAATTATTTTCAACATTACAAAGAGGTTGTAGGTCCCTTATTTAAAATAGTCTGTTCATTACTGTTTTGTTAGAGAAAAAAGAAAATTCTTCAACAATACAAGAATTTTTTAAAAATATAAATCTTTATAAAAATCACATTAAGCACTGCTCTTCTCTAGTATGTGGAAGAACAGTGTACAGTAGGATGTGAATTTAAACCTCGGTGATTATTCCCTCTCAGAGATATTTAGTCCTTGTCCTTCTCTCAACCCTATTACCGGCAACTATCAAGTGCAAACATCAAACAATATATTTCACTTCACACATCCAGTACTTGCTGCTACACACCCATGACGTTTCATGTAACACACATGTCACATGTTCTTTGTGGAAGAAACAAGCCATAGGAGATCTTGGACTCACCTGTGTAATATGTGGAAGAAACAAAAAGCTCTTAGTCTAAGTTCCCAAGAACTTAACCATTACAGGTTATAAAGAAAAAAATTCACATTTGCATTCCTTTTCTTTAGAACTTAGGGAATCCTAAGTAGTTTTCTTGTTTTCAACTAGCACCATGTGCCATCCTGTTTTTAAACATTTTAAACATCTTCTGTCCATTGTTTCCTAAGTGTGTATAAACAGATATCACCGATGTTCATCAACATTTCATTCTTTTATAGTGGTTTAGTGTAGAAGTCAGGTCAAAGCGTTTCATCTGTGTGTTTTTAAGTTTATTGAACTCTTCTAAGTGAAACCAAATGTCATAAACCAGACTTTTAAGGAAGAAATTATTCTGCCAAAACCAATTCATTATTAGAATATGAAATATTTTGAATGAATTAGTTTCAATACTAAATATTTCTATCCATGATAGAAATAACAAAACCAATCATATTATCTTGAGGATTTAATTCAAAATAGAGGAATTTTAGGTTCTTAAAGTTAAAAAAACAGTCATACTGAGAAATGGGGTGCTATAATATTACATTTCTTCGGTGCTTCTTTTGGATTTTCAAAACACTGACTTTCAAATGTATCTTCTTTCCCAGGCTTCACAAGAGCTTCACAAGGCAGATGGGCCGTTATTTTCCAAATGGGACACTGATGCTCAAAGTGCTGAAGTTACCTGTCTACATTTGTATAATAAAATATGACGAAGTCCAGTCTCGCAATTATTATCCAAATTCCAATCCAATGTTTTTTTCTGTTTCAATTCCTAATATAATAAGTCACAGAAACATTTTCAAAGGAAATTCATCCCCAAATGTCTACCAACAAGGGCCGATTTCCCATGGCAGTTGCACAAGTGAAGAGTCAGTTTAATAGCGACTTCCTTCCGGGTCTCCCATCACTGAGCTCCCATGGACAGGGACTTGCCACCTCTAGTGGCTAAGGCTCTGGCTAAGGAGGAAGAAGCCTTGAAAATCTTTCTCCAGCTGGATTTAAATACAGCCTTGCAGTTGGATTAAAAAACATTTAACAGATACATGGCTATTATTGAGTGTTGAAATTTCTGAAAAGTTTTACCTTTCATTTTGTTCAATTTTTATGAGTCACATTTGCAGCACACAGTGATTGTATTTCTCATGGAGAGCTGGTATAGGGGCATCACACATCTTTGTTCTTCTAGCCATGCCCCCTCCCCACTCCCATCATCTCTTGGTCCTCTTCCCTTTTGCAAAAAAATTGATGTCCCTATTGCCTATTGATTATTTCTTATTTTTCTCTTTACTTTATTCATGCTTTGGGTTTCTCATGTAAGAGAAACCATGCCATATTTGACCTTCTATGTCTAATTATTTCACTTAACATTATGATTTCAATTTTTACTTTTTAAAAAAATCTTAATATATTCTCAGATCTTTGCAAACACATTTTTCTCTTATTTTTAGTATATAAACTATAGCAATCTTTTACAAAGGCTCAATTGGATTTTAAATTTCCCTTCATAAGTGTCTACAATATTTCAATATATCTTCGATATCAGCCTTATATGCTGATTCTTCTCTCTCCAGCCCAGATACATGCAGTGGATTTCCTATCAAAGCAGTTACCTGCAAGGAGAGGTAAAAGTGGCACAGAGGTGTCTCCCTGTGTACCTAGTCTCATAGATCAAGGCAGGGAAACTGCACACAAAAGCAGCTTTCATTGTCTGAGGATTAACATGTATTAGTCCTTACTGTAAACATGGGGACTTCAGCTATGGATTAATGTTTTCCTCTAAAGAAAGGTGTGAGAGAAAACTGACAAAACTTAATCCTAAAATTACCTAATTTTGAGTCATAGGTATTCTCTTCAGAAGGTGATGGGTGGGTTAAGCCTGTTTTGCTTTGGTTTTTATTAGTTTCATGTGTTCAGGCTAGTGAACGTGTCAGCTTTCGTGTTTCCTCTCAGTGGCTGAACTCTGAATGGGTTCAGCAGAGGGTAGCTGATTTTCCTGATAGGAACCTGAAATGTTTTCCTTTCTGAAGGTCTGAAACACAAAGACAGTTTAGTGGAAGAAGTGAAATTCTTCAACAGAAGACTGTAATTCACAAGAGATAATTTGTGCCTCCGAAGGAACAATTTTGAATCCTGCAGGTATTAGGGGTTCCTTTGGTTTTCTATTCAGGGCACCAAATTCTTGGTTTTCAACCCTTTAGGGCTAAGAACACTTTCTCCCAAAAATAATCATCAAGATCCCAAACCAGGGAAATTCTGCGTCACAGCTGTTGATTAAGGAAAGACATAATGTTGGAGAGCTATTGTAAATTCACTGTCTTTGGAATAAATGTTTTATTTTAGAAAATTACAGCAGTATCCACATACATTTGAAAACATATATCTAAGAGTCTGAACAATGAATGTAATCAAAAATAGAACTTAATTTTTCTGTATGAAAAATATACCAGCATAGTAACTGAAGAACAGTTTATTATATATGATATACAATAAAGGCATTGTACTGCAGCAACAAATAAGTAATATTGACAAGGGTTATCTGACTCAATTGAAACCTCTACACACCAGACTTACTGTTTGTGTATTCTGGAAAGTAACAAATACGTGTTTTAAAGATCGAAGTGGTAAGGATTAACATGCTTTTTATGCATATCATTTCTTAATTTACATAACAGAAACAAAATCCAAAAGAACACAGCTAGAAAACTTTTGAGAATGCATCAAGTTGGTGACTGTTATTGCATTCTTTTAAAGTAGCATTCATTTGGAACATGTTATTTCCACATAGTCTGAATAATGATCTCTTACTGTATGTATAGGAAGTGTATGGAAATTTTTATAATTTTCCCTTGACTTTATCCAAGCATGGAGCCCAGGGTGTCACGGAAGTCTCTATTGGTGAGAGAAATCATCACAATTCCTGTTTATTGGGTTCCCTGGAAATTCCAAGTGTGGAGGGAACCAAAGCTCAAAGACCGTTATCTGTTAATGCCCATCTTTCTGCCCTGCTTTTCTCTAGGCTGATTTTATTCTTCCTGGCTCCCAGCATCTTTAGGTCTATCTGCCCTGGCAGACGCGTCTCCACCCCCTAATCCCCGTCATTCCTGGCCTGGGTCTTCCTGGCGTATCATGAGTCTCCTGCTCATCTCTTAGCCAATCACTGTGGTCTAAGGGATGCAACACTGTTACTGGCCAGGGTTAAATCATGTGTCTACTTCCAGAAAGGTGGCACCCATACAAACTAAAAGCAGAGGGAAGATGTATCCCCAATGGAAAGTGCGATGTTTGTCAGACTAAGAAAATAGTTACTGGGCCAGAAAAAGCAGAAATATTCAAGTCACTCAGTCTTGGGAATTTTTACAGAGATGAAGACAGATGTTTGTTTAAGGACCATGTTCGGGAGGTTTTGAGAACACAGGAACCAGAAAGCAGCTGGATCCAAGGGGACCACAGGCTGGGCCTTGGGGTGGTGACTGTGGCAGGTGCAGGGTTTGCCTCACACTGCAGAAATGCATGCACTGAGCCTGAGGGTCTTGATATAAATGTGCAGAGGGCAAGCAAGCACTGACTCCAACAAACCCCCTAAGAGCCTGGCATGTGGGGCTTGGTGTTTGATGACTGAGCTTTATGTGGCCACTCGTGTTGTGCACTGAAAGTACATATAGATTCATGCCATCTTTGAAAAACTTGTGTGATACTCTAGGAGCCTATGAGCTACAAATTGGATGCCATACTCCGGATCCAGGTTAATATTTTTCCAATTTGCAAACTGCATGTATTTCTAAATAAGTCTGGCTCTCTATAACAAATATTACACAGGATATTGAGCTGATAAATATGGCCTGTAAGAACACAGGCTTTGTCGTTAGATTCCCAGGGTTCAAATCCTCACCTCAAAAACACAAACAAACAAGAAATCAGGTGCCACCGCTTTCTAGTTGTGTGGTCTTGCCAAAGCTAATTAACTTTTGTCAGTCTCTGTTCCTCGTTTTTAAAATAGAAGTAAAGCAGCACCATCCCTCACAGGTTGATGTGAGGATGAATAAAGCTGTTGCTTCAAAGGTGTCGGAATAACTGACAGTAATTTCCCAATAAATGCCAGCTGCTGTTATCAATTCCTAAAAAAGTAGGAAAGGTGAGGGTATATCCATCACCACATTTCAAACAGCAACACAAAATCCTTAGCCAAAGACCCTTCATGTGCCCTTCAGGTTGTATGACTGAGGGACACATTTGCCACACAGTGGAGAAGAGGTGTCTTGCTAGTTTTATACGTAATGCTGAAACCCAGATTTCACCTGGGTGTCCTCCTGCACTCATTCACACCCATCAACAAATCAACAAGCCTCCCTACTCTTACCTGTGTGCTCCAAAGGCACGACTTCCTCATTTTGATGACCAGGACGATCCATGCGCCCCACAAATTTCTGACGAAATCTCATACCATATGTGATCTTCGCCCTGGCTCTGTGTGTGCTGCCTTGTTTCAGCCTCTGCTGATCTAGATCCAAAATTCAGCTTGTTGGTTAAATTTCCACAAACGTTCAATTCAAACCAATGATTTCATGCATACTAAAACTTTCCTAAAGTTTCACAAGTTCATGGGAAGAAATCACATTTTTCTCCATTTGCCTGGACTTGTCACACAGTGTCTTCTTCCTTTGCTCTGACCTCTCTGGAAGAAAAAGCAGGACTCAGATCCCTTGGAATGAACTGAAAACTTCCAAGCAAAATTATCAAGGCAGATTTTTCCAAAAAAATACAGTTTTCTTACTGAGGAATTCCATCACAAATCATATTTCTAACCTCATCACATCATGTTGGACTTTATCAATATGGGCATTTAGGGGGTGTGAGCTGTGCACCCACTTTGCAAAGGAACATCGCAGGACATGAGACAATCACCAAACACACCACTACCTAACTGTATCAGTCACTTTCCTATTGCTGGGCCAAACACCCAACGGCCACACTGAAAGGAAGAGAGGTTCACTTTAGTTCGTGGTTTCAGTCCATGGTCATCTGGCTCCAACAAAAACAAGATGGCGGAGAGGCATGGCAGAGGAGGAAAAGGTGTGTAACCCAAGGCAGCCAGGAGGCAGAGCAAAAAGGGGGCAGCTGGGGAGGACCCTTCTGGGTCATAACACCAATGGTCACTTCCAGCCAGGCCCTGCCTCCTAGCAGCACTGCCCGCTACTGAGTTGATTCATGGGTGAATCCTGATCTAACCACCTTCCACACAGGTGAGAATTGGTGGGGAGGCTTTCTAGATCTAAACTATGATGCCAATTCACAGCACATGATGTAAATGATATCTTAAAGTACTGATGGAGAACACCAAAGATGTAATAAATTCATAATTTTTAAATGAAATATTAGTATGTTTCAACACATAAAGTGATTGTGGATATTTAAGTATTGATAATGATCAGTCTGAAGATTGTGACTAAATAGAAGGATTTGATTTTATTACCTTCAGATCATTAAGATTTCCTGAAATGATCTGCATTCCCAAGAGAACTCTGAAGTCACAAAATTATTTACTAAGAAATATAAGCGTAAGCATAAACTCCAAGAAGGTAGCAGTTTGATCTCTTTTTTCCATTAGTATATTCCAAGTTCCTAGAAAGGGCCTGATAGGTTCTAAATCCACATTTGGCAAATTAACACAATAATTTATAAAATTTCATTTATCCAACACACACTGGTTATGTGCTTAAATATATAACTGGTTCTAGGTGAATTAGATACACAATTTAAGTTCCCAAAATATTGAAATTCCCATCACTTTCTTAGGAACAGTAGCAGCTCTTACAGTATGGAAGATTTCCCTAACCATTGCTGTTTCACTTTTCTTTCTATCTTTCCTCCATTTTCCAATTTCCCCTTGAGTTGCCCTTCTCTAACCCAGGTACAACCCCCCAAATCTTTTCTGAACTCCATAGCACGCCCAAACAGTGGGCTGTGTCATGCTGGGACCTCTCACATCATTTTCCAAGGAACTACCCATTCCCTAGTGTGGTGGACTAATGAGCAACTTGTAACACCCAGCTGAACTGAGTCAGTGTGGTCTGGACATGGAGGATCCACCTGAAGACTGTTACCAATAGCCATTAAAAAGAGAACTGGAGGGAAAGGTCTTGTCCTGTTGATTTGCTAGGAGAAGCTTGCTGCAGATGGTTTTCCTGATGCAAACTAGTATGTTCTCATTGGAGGAGGAGCTCAGGGCCTCGCTGTTGCTGGGAATGGCTGCTGTTCTCATCAGGGGAGCTCTGATCTTCACTGTGAGCATCACTTCCTGGCTCCACTGTGGATTCCTCAGCCTGGTGGCACAAATCCTTCACCTCACCAGCGTAGATTTTCTGGCTTCCACTGCTGGCCTTTGGGCCTTCCAGGTGCAGATCCTCAATATGGACAAGCATGAGATAATGCTGTGGGCTCCAGGCCTCTGGCTGGACTCGAGGAGGACATTGCCTTGGACTCTAGGCCTTCAGGTGGACTTGCGTGGGAAACTTCTGGGATCTAGGATCTCAGTTGAATTCTTTGGGCTTCTCTTGCACTCCTTTGCATTTAAATCTTTGGGTAATTACCCTAAAATAACCTTATAAGTTATGTGTCCTGTATTTAATGTATTCCCTTGCTGAATCCTTCTGACTATAACACCTCAGTTAAGGCACATGAATTGTTTAAAGGTTTGTTTGTTTGTTTGACTGTTTTTTCAGGTACTGAGTTTGTTTTTCACTGATATAATTGCTATTTTGAAATTGTCCTCCTTTTCATACCTTAATTTGAAACTCTTAATGAGCTGGGATTTCAGCCTGCATGTGTGTGTATATGTGTCTATGGGTGATTTCGGTTTTGGTTTTTGTGATGCTGGGAATTGAACCCAGGGCCTTGTGCAAGCTAGATAAGCCCTTGAGCACTGAGCTACACCTGCAGTGCTGCCTACCTGTTCTGGACAGTACCTTTTAACTCTAATTTCTCTGTTACTACTGTCACACGTGTCAGATCAAGTCTAATTACAGTATCTTTCCTTTACTACTTTTGGTTAATATTTTTTAATTCCTGCACTTTGTGTTGGCCTACATTTCAGGGCAAAATTCTTGGAATAGTAAAGATCCCCCCTATGGTAGATGACAAAATGTATGTACAATGTGGAAGATACTGTTAGTGGCCCACCTGATCACTGGTCAAACCATGACAGAAGTAGTCATCTCTGGCAACAAATTTCATTTCCTTGTGTAGAGTTTTCTGTAACATGGGACTGATATCTCCCAAATAGATGAAGTCATTCTCATTTTTATATATAAATTTAATTTTTGTTTTCTTTTATCTGGCCAGGAAGTTTCTTCTAAATTTATTCTTCTGAAAAATACCATCTTGGTTTAATTCTGTCCTAGGGATAATTCATTTAAAAAAAAATCATTCAAATTAGTGTCTAGATTTCTCTAATTTCCTGTTCTTTTCTTTCTTGAGTTCAGTTACTTGAAATTATTTCCCTGAGATTCATTTATTACTGCACTGAATTATCACAGCTCAAGGTCACCAGTAGCCTCATAACTTCACATAGCAAATTAATTCATCCCTGCCAATTTGCCTCCATTTGGACCATAAAAAACATATAATATTAGTTGTGGAAGAAAACTTAAGGGCCATCTAATCCTACACAATTTAATTATTTGTGGGAAAGTTGGGGCCAAAAGAAATTAAGTGACCTGTCTAAAGTTATGTAGTTAATAGCAGATATCAAGGGATTCCTGTCTCTTTCAATGCAATCATGCAATGCAGTCTACCAAAATGAAAACCCAGTACTTCAGGAAACCAGCACAATTCCATAATGTCTGGTAAAATTCATATGCCACAAACATGAAATCTGAATAAAATGGACACTGAGTTGAACTAAATTTTCAAGTCTCTGTGGAAATTAACATAATTTTCCATAGCTAGAATACCACTTGAACATTAACTGTTACTAAAAATTCATTTTAAGTACTTTTTGGATCATAAAGTTGACTTTATGACAGGAAAACTTGTTGAAGATACAATGTAGATTGTGTTTTAATACAATGGAAATTTTAGACGAGGTCAGGCATGTTCAGGGTGGTATGGTCATAGACAACAATGGAAATTTTAGACATAACATGATTTTTGAAAGATACTTCTTTCCATTGGCACTGATATTTAAGGACTGAAATATTTGTAAGGTGCTTCCTGTAAAGGAGGTAGGCGTTCTTCTTTTGTTTTACTCAACTGTTACATGGTTCTCAAAACCTCCCAGATCATCAGAATCAGTCCTGGGAGCTTTCTAGAAGTTGAGATTCTCATTGCATCCAAAACTAGAACCAAAGAAGTAAGTTACCTGTCTTGTCTCTAACATCTCTGGTAATTCAGTGAGGTGGTCAAATTTAGGAAGAGTAGCTCTATAGCAATCTATAATATATGAATTTGAAATACTTTACTGTTAAAATGGAAATCACCAGCATATAAATATAGCCAAATACACAACACACTTTTTCTGTGCTCGATGGATGATAAGTGAAATAGTAATCAAGATAAATGGTCACATCCTCTGTCTTGATAAAAATAAGTAAATAAAATCTAAATTTTATTGACTCCAAGATGCCTTTGGTTATAAGATGCATCATTATTTATGTGACACTACAGAGAAAGAAAGTTTACTATAGACGATTTCAAAGATGGTTGAAAATCTATACCTTAAACCAGATGGAGTGCAGTAAATTTTATCCTTGTCATTGGAATTATAATGCACCTCCCAGGTTGAAAGTGAATAAAAGAGAGAGCTGAACCTTAAGGTTTTAGAAGGAGACACCTGTATGAATGACTCTGGCAAGACAGCTCTACAGATCTTACAGGCACATATTTCTGAATCTTTTCTAATAGCTAGAAATCCACCCTAATGATCTGTCAGCTCCTGTGACATCTTGGGGAGCTTTGAATAAATCCGACAGCAGGATGGCCCTTCGTCTATGGATCTGACTTTGCTATACATACACGCACACATAACACACACGCACATACCCATGGCTCTGAGAGGTCATTGAAAAGGAAGGCATCGAAGGCAAAATATGCTCGGAAAAGGTGATTTTTCACAAGGATGGCACTCAATCATTTTTAATTGATGTGACAGAATTTAACTTTAAGGGGTTTTCATATCATCATTGCTTGTACCAAAATTGAAGGAGTTGTATTTCCTACCAACTATTCTTCTCTCTAAATGCGAAAATACTTTTAGTTTATATCATTAATGGAAAGTCTTTACTTTTAATAGGAGACTGGTTATTGAAAAAAATATGAAAGCTGGACTCTGGCCAAACTGAACTCTTCCCACCCTCCTTGCTTGACATTCCTTATGAACAATAGCACGTTTGAATGTATCCATATTTCCTAACCACTCACATTAATTTACAGATACAGTGTCCTTCCCTTAATATCATATTTTGTAATTTTTAAATGTTATGCTGCTTGCTCCACTAATTCTACTCCTTTGGGTGGAGTATTCTGCCCTGGTTCTGCTGTTGGCATTCCTTGCACATGTGATATTTTTGGACTGTGCTATCATCTTTACTATTGGGAGTCCTGTCTGAAGCACCTGGTTTTGTCGTTTCTTTGGCAGAAAGTGGAGACTGCTGCTGCAGCTTACACACCGTATTGTTTTCAGGAGGAAAAAGGAGGTGCAAGATACATCACTGGGCAGTAGCTGTTTTCAGGATCATGACCCTTTTGCCTAAGCTAGCAGAACTGCCCTTTCCCTTCAACCAGGGGGCTCATTTTTATTTTTCCAATTAAAGGCAAACTTTCTGCTTGG